CTTATATTTTTGTTTTCAGGACTCGCAAGAGACGCTCTTGTTTGAGCCTCTATAGGGTAAGGAAAAAATTGTGTCTTGCTTTATTTATGAAGCCAATTTAAGTCAAAAAGATAGCAATGAAGAGGCAAAAGAAGAATTAGCATCAAGTACTGATGAATATGACAAAATTAATAACAATGAATCTGGGACACATGTTTGAACGAGGTTCACGTAACCGTCAATCAATATTTTGCGTAACCGAAATTAAAAATACAATATTATGGCGTTCAAAATATACATTACTAAATGCATCACCGAATGCGATGCCTACAAAAATCGTCAATTTTTTCATTGATACACAATAGAAGAAAGCAATGCACCAACCTTAGTTTTGTGTTCCATTGCGGTGGTCGTAGTCGTCTAATCTCGTTTTCAGAGGTGGCCACCGTCATGCTATAACACCGTGGTTCTGCTGTCTTGGTGATTTAATGAAAATGCATCCACTGAACAGCATTTGAGGTGTTGTTGCCCAGAGGCCAGGAATTTCAGTTATCTGATTTTTACTCGGTGTTTTACCATTGACTATTCTTCATTTTCCAATTGAAATATTAAATGAGACTTTAATTTCCCGTCTTTTTGGAATTTCTTTCTGATATGATTCTGCCTCAATGTTGATTTTCCGAAAATTGGACACATTCTAATAATCAATTTTGTGTAACAAAGTTGATATCATATTATCATCCATAGATTCTAGTTTAAGCACATAAAAATTGGGTTGATAGGACATATTTAAGAAATTATTACATTTTAGGGCCACGCTGTATATAACAGATATGTTTATCTATCCAGATGTAAAAATGTACGACCAAATTTTGTAGGTTTTAAAAGTAATGTAAAACAATAATTTCAATTAAATGTAAAGTTGGAGAAAGGGGAAAGTGGGACGAGATTAAAAATACCGCAAACTATGTTCTAAAGAAACTATAGCCATGTATAATATTGTTTATACACCCTCCCACTTGTATCTTTGCTTGAAGTATGGCCAATAAGATTATCACATTGGGAAGTATCTTTCCTTATTTCCATGTATTGACGCTTCGTGTATTGTTTGCATCTTACTGCCATCTTTCATTCCAAAGCAAGTTTATACTGGGTCTAATAGTTTTGCAGGATTTAGTGTCTGTTCTCTGCCTTGTAGGTTTTAGCGGGGCATGTAGCTGTTACTCTCGGCACTCACAGTGGTAGTGCTGTGCAGCGGGCTATGGTAAGGTCGGATGGGTATGTCGGGTTGTCCATAATCACGTGTAGTTATTTCAAACATAAAGTTATCTAAGTTCGTTGTACAATTATGAAAATATGTTTGCTGTTTTCAAATATAGGTCTCTCTGGGATTAGTTAGTGAAGGAATCGTTTCAATCTCTCATCAATCCTTGACTTCGGGAATAGAGAGTTCAATGCATCAAAAAAGTAAATTCTTAAAAAATCAATCGACGTGTCATGTCAAAATTATAATTGAATTATTTATACAAATTGATGTTTTGCATCTCTGTGATTTTCCAGCAGAGACTTTTTTAAATCTTTGAAGGTTCTTGAAATAGTGAATGGCCTAATCGTTTCAGAGAAAAAATAAAATGCATCCAGGGGATGCATTGGAGAGTGTAAATTATAAATAATTTGGTAAAAGTAAAAGTACCTTGTTCCTAGAGTTTCTAGTGCTCTAGTATGGACAAGTAGAACCCCACTTAACCCCCCTATCACACCAAACTAGTTCTTACCCGTTCTTGCCGGTCCTACGAAAACGTCGTAAAACGGGCTCAATCTGCATGAATCTGGCTTTGGTCGGGAAATATGTCTATCTAATAATCAGCTACTTCGTTCATACGTCCATCTTCAATACGTCCATCTCATCGTTCAGGTCGCACCACGTTGGTCTGCAACGTCGTATAATGCGTCCATTAGTCTAGAAGGTCATCATGACCTGATTACAGAACGGTATGGTCGCCATCGAACTTTGAATCGATTCAAAATTCTAAATCACATTCCCCGTTGCAATATTCGCAAAAACACACAGAAAAATGCTCTCATTTCAAATATTTCAGAAGGATTTGCCAAGGGGGTGACTTTTGGGTATGGATGGGCCGTGCGTGAAGCGTGCGGAGCAGTCTAGAGTAATTTTGCAAATTTTCTTAAACATATGTTACGTTTGTGATAAAAATGTGAGAGAATTCTGCCTATCGCGTAAAATAAGGAAAAAAGAAAAATCGCAAATTCGACGTTCCGATAAACGAACCGTTTCGGTAACCAGCGTAATCGAGCGGACATTTTGCTGCATATTTTTCAGCTATGTATTACATGTAGGCCTAATCGAAAAAATGTGTAGGCTATATCTCCTAGACTGATGGATGGGCCGTGCGTGAAGCGTGCGGCGCAGTCTAGAGGAATTTTGCACATTTTCTTAAACATATCTTACGTTTGTGATAAAAATGTCGTGGGAATTCTGCCTAAACGCGTACAATAAGGAAAAAAGAAAAATCGCACCTTCGACGTTCCGACAAAACTAAACGTTTCGGTAACCAGCGTAATCGAGCGGACTCAAAATATTAGGAAAATCGCAATTTTGAGGTCACAAAAGATATGCAAATTAGCTAATTTGCATGAATTATAATCTACATGATATATCTTTCATTTTATACCAAGATTATTTAAAACGGATAAGAATTGGAAGTGTTACAAGACAAAACATTTTGTTGGTAGTTGAAATTAATTCAGCGTCTGTTTCCATAGCAACGGGACCATTTTTAGAACTCATCATGTGGAAGTAATAGTGGTGATGCATAGCTTTCCAAAAATACCAAGAAACCAAAGGTCAGTCGATCCTTTTTCATTTTATTTTTTCACAAATCTCTTCTCGTCGTTTAAAATTAAAATCATTTTTCTTCAAAATGTTACAGTCCAAACCCGGTTTTAGCGTAGAAAGTCACATAATACGGCTTGCGTGATTCTCAATTAAAAAGTTCCAAATTAATTATTTTGAATCCCGATAGGCAAAATACTTCATAGAGGGAGGGGGTAGACATATATGTTCAACTAATGACAAAATATTGTAGAAAAATATGATTTTGCTGTCGTAAGTAAAAGTAAAAGTAAAATGCCGTGTGGTCAGGTGGTACAGTTTCTGACGTCGTATCATCTACACTTCATTGAATCGAATTTTGACATATATCTATATGTTCTCTGGAAGCTGAGAAATTATGCAACCGCGGTATAGATGTTAGATTAACGTACCAGAACTTCAGCTCATAACAATCATAATTGCATATAATATTTATTTATCTCCGTCAAGATCACCCAGCAAGGGATTCAATCATTTTTTAAATTCTAATTCTTCTTACTATACTTTTGTATAAATATTTGCAAACAAGTGCACAGCATGTGTTTGGAACTGCATTATTTAAAGAGAGAATTATATACCGATACTGTAAATCTTGAAAGGACTGTTGACCGAGAAAATTTAAGCATTTTTTCGAAAGTAGCGGTCAACAACACCTACTAGCGGTCAACAGAACATATTGTTGACCGCTAATCAACCAATCAGAATTGAGTATTTTAACTGAGGTACTAACAAGATAGATTGGTAGGTCAATTGTACATGTTGCTTGTCACCCCTATAGATCTGATATTGACTTTAAATTAATGAACGATAACTAAACTGGTTGAAATGATAAATCAATACATTGAGAACTCGATAGTTATCTGTTATAAATTGGAAGTTATTTTGAATTGATCAATCATCACTGTGATCATACAACAGTCTTGAAATTAAAAAATATTGAACTATAAAGTATAACATTCATGAACATATTAACATTTAATTAGAGCATGCAATGTTGCGTACATGTATAAGCTGCGAATATTTATCGTATTTACAATATTTGGCGCAGTGAAAAATAGTGAAACCATACAAGGATATCATTTTCTCATGAGTGGATATGTCTTTGTCATGTAACATCACCACAACATCGATATTAAATAGCCAATTAACATTTTAGATTGCATACTTTTGATTTCCTTCAAACTTAACAGACATGGTCTCATTGATACGGTGTGTCTTGTCAGGATGAATTCTTTAATCAAATATCTTAAATTCAGTCAATACAAGATACAAATATCCATATTATTGGACTAGGTTATTATGAGCATGTCTTCTTTTTATGAAGCGGTATTTTCTACTCTAATTTGAAACACAGCTAACAGTCATTCATTCAATTTATCTATACTTGTTTTTTGATTTTCCCAAAATTATATTATGCTACTTATTTCTATTTTTCTGTACCTCAGTTAATATAGTGAGGAGTTTGCGAAATAATAAAAATGGAATTTTTACCTTTATGAAAATTGCCAATTATTTTACAATTTCAATAGCTGACATTGTCCTTATGCGCCACATGCAAACGATAGTGAAAGTACATGGATCATCTGACTTGGAATACTATTCATCATTTTATCTATTTTTCTGCCAATTGCATAATTATTCTCTTGTAGTAATGGAATCGGGCTAAAAGATTTAATAATAGATATAATCTCAAATGATTATTCATTCTATTGTAATCTAATATTGTATATAGTTATCTAATCCATGGTTGAAACTAGTTCCGATGTGTGAGGTCTCTAAAGAATTTTGTGATATCAATTATGTCCTTTTAAATGTTACGATTTTATCATTCACTTAGCTAACGCTTAACGAAAATTAAAATAATCTACTCGGTTATAAGTGCAGATGCATGCATATCATTTCCTATGTTCTGATGATAGATGCTACAACTGCTGATGCCACAGCTTTGTATATGCTACATGCCTCTGTTTAATAGGAGTATAAAAGTGACGGCTTTGTCACCGACAGACAGAGTTCTCAAGAAATGAAACGAATCACAGATAGCGAATAAACTACAAGGCAATCAGTTACATAAATATCTCAATAAAGTATTTCTATTTGACGTTATCTGACCTGTAATTACAGAAAGATGAAAACAGGACGTGATGCAAGAGTGTTCGTGATGGTTTATTTCATCGTAATAGGGACCACACTCAAAAGTGTGTCATCAACAAATGTATCAGGGTTTAACGAGACGAACCCTCCAAATGGAAAAGTTGATGTGAATTTGAATATCTCAAGAATTGAACTGAACAGTACAGTTGAAGGCACAACAACAACCAAAAACAGTGACACGACAACTGAAACTGGCAACAGTGACATGCAGGTTAATGCCAACCACAGTGGCACAACAACTGTAGATACAATCAGTTTACCAAATGAAGCGCAAATAACTGATATGGCGAATGCAAATGAAGACATTACAAAAGTAGTTGATGGCACCGTCACTGTTAACGTAAGCACGACTGTCAAACCAATCAAAATGTTTAAATTGACGTACAAATATTTCATGAGTATGGTAACAAAACTTGCAAAATTAGGCATCATAAAGTTCTATACTTTTAAAATTGATAATGATACTATAGATACAGTAACTAATGACACAAAAATCATCATAAAATGGTCTGAGTATGTTGAGCTAATAAGGACGTTGTATCTGAAGACTCCGAATGCTAAGTGTACACCGCCAGTTGGTGATCCAGTTACGGGCCTCAAACTACCGTTCGCAGATCACGCCCGTGTAATGCAGATTTACGTCGCGGCTTCTATCTGTGCCATCGGTGCGGTAAGTAACATTCTCGCATACATCGCACTCTCTCGACAAAAACAGAATACTAGCGTGTTCACGATGCGTTGCCTTGCAGTGAGTGATTGCATCTATCTCATGTGGAATGGACTTTGGGAAGTTTTATACTGGATATATGGACACACATATTGGATGGACAAGTCCGTGGGAGCAAGGTCGCATCACATCAGCCTCGCATATCCGTATGTTTCTACAGTAGGGTATATGCTACAAATGACAAGCGTCTGGCTAGTAGTTCTGGTGACCGTGGACCGTTTTGTAGCTGTTTGCTTTCCTCTGAGGGCAGTATCACTATGTACAATATTTCGAGCAAGGGTTCTCTGTCTTTCTGTTTTCATTATGTCTATCATTTACCATATTCCCATGTTCTTTGAGTGGAAGATGGCCTGGGCGAGGAATATGTGCAGCAGGAAATTCGAATACGTATTAAGGTTCACGGACACTGGAGAGAACTTCTATTATCAGTTGATTTACGGATTCATTTTGAATCTCATGTTTAAGAATGTCGTACCGATATTGATCGTCTTCATATTGAATATAATGTTGATTCGGGATCTCTACCGAGCGAAGAGAGCGCGAATGGAGATTCAGAGTGGGGCTAACACACATTCGAGACAAGAGAGAGACATAACGATGACTCTTCTTTCAGTCTCTACGATCCTTGTTATTTGTCTGATACCAAGACTGGCACTGAAAGGCATGCGATTGGTGCTCTGGATTCCAAAGACAAACGAAGAGAGGATTGCCCAATTTGGGTCCTTGGAGGCATACGATAACTACTATTGGAGTTCGAACTACCTCTTTATAGCTTCTGTGTTCTTAATGAGGGCCAATTCTGCCGTTAACTTTTTCATCTATTGCATCGTTCGTAAGGATTTTAGGAAAGAATTGCGGGATATTTTTACCTGCAATAAAAAGAAGGCGAGTAAAGCTCAAACCGACAAAAGTGCACGACTTAGCACACAGGGGCAAGGAACCAAGGAGTTTAGAGGAGAACTGAGAAAGGGTGAACAATATATCCCACCAGGTGGGTCGGTGAATGTTGGCTTCTCTTCTACCGACGGACCCAACAATTCCACAATTACAACGTTAGATGTAAGTGAGTTTCAACAAAGAGCAGCACCAGAATATGGTGAAAGTGTCAGACTTTGATAACTGGTCATTGTTACAGATACATGTAGTAAAGGACTGAGACTGACTTTGGTTGAATTAACGTTTCGATGGTCCAAGACAAGACTATAGTGACAAGATTTCGACCTTGTTCTAAAGTTGTTAGGTAAACATATATGTCGAATTATATATGTAATTAACAAGTTTTTTTGTATAAATTGTATATATTATGATAGCTTAGACTTACATGTAGTGTTGTGTAGTGTAGTTTTGTACAATATGTATTCATTTTGTAATGACTAATATGTCAGGTCATGACATCTAAAGAGTCAATAAAAGATATATATATATATTGTATTATATTGTATTATGATGTCAATAAAAATAGATAGGAACTATCCCGTTATTTACCTATAGTTATATATATTTTAATTTAAGTGGATGAGTGGGTATAATTTTGAATTTAAGAAACAATAAACAACAAAAATAGCTGCAGCTGCCGATGCCCTATTTTCTTATGATTCGAAGTCGTTACAAAAAATGTATAAAGGTCATGCAGTTTACGTTGCCAACACCAAATCCTCTTGTGATGTTGACAAGCATGTATAACGTCCCTTTTCTGTTTTGTGAACTTCAATTATTGATCAACTACGTATAGTGGTCCTGGGTTCGGGTATATCAGAAGCATACAATCTGCACACATAGATAAATTCAGACTAACATTTGGATATCTAAACCATGTTGGTAGGTACAAGGTAGATTATAATTTGATTTGTAGTATCCAGATATTAATTATAGGAAATACCCATAGTAATATTTAGGTCATGATTGGTACGTTGAAAATCCACATCATATATAAAAGGAGGTTCCTCAGGCTTGTGACTGAGCGTTGGTGGGTTTAACGTTTTAATCCATGGAAACACTCCCCTTCCCTGCATTTTTTAATAATAAGACATAACTGAGTCACTGGACTCTTTTTACAAGTCCAGGAACACTTTAGTGCACGATGTATTTTTTATAGGTAACATTTTTAATTTGTTTTTTATTTTTATAGTTAACATTTTTTATTGATTTTTTTTTTGTTTTCTTTCATTTACTTATATAATTTACTCCTATTTACAAATAGGCCGGGATGTTTTTCGCTATCGCTAACATAATTAATTTTGATAAATAAGATCTTTCGCAAAACAAAAATATAATTCCGTTTATCCGATTGAAGAATTTTATTTGTCCAGATGACAATATATCTGCCCTGAAACCGTCTGTAACTAGTACATACAGAAATAAACTGACCCTGGCCTCAGTTTAAACTGAGTTGAAATATTTAATTTTCACATTTATCTCAATAACAATATACACTCCCCTCCATAAGTTTGGTTCAAGCACAATTCATTGGCTAGCATATCAAAACCAGTTAATCAAGTCGTAGTTTTGTTCCTTTATTACAATAATTCGGAACTTATGTCTCAGTCACATTTAATCTACGGCAACCGTACGGCGGCCGTAGGCTCTTCTTTATCGATTTAGTGCAGCCACTGCAGTCGTACGGCCACCGAGAGCAAATGTAACTAAGTTTTCTCCAATAATAGCTTTGATTTAAACAGTAATTTCATTTAAATCATTTTCCATGCTTGGACCAAATCTCCATTGATGCAATGCTAAAATTCATTAAAACCTAGGCTTATTTGTATGACAACCAACATGTTCATGTTTAATCACAATATATACATTGACAGAGTCATCCAATAGTATGTCATTTGAGTTTCAGACAGATTCAACCATCACTTTTTGAGAAGTCATCAAATTAGTGACTATTGCAAGTTTCCAGCATCGAAGTGAATTGAGGTCTAGCCCAAGGAGGATTGACTCCCAGAATCAAAGTCGATATTTTCCAACAATGAAAAAGTCGAAATGTCGTTATTTTCTGAAATTATAACCGATTATGAATTCAAAATAAAGAGTTCAAAAGGTTTGAACCAATATCTCGATCATTTCTTGTGAGTTTTGGAATTTTTCGTTAGGAAATAAGAAAAAAAATTCACGATTCAAATGTTGAAGCGAACAAAATGGCGGCTGTCGGAATTAAAATGTTGTAGCACACCCCCATATATGGGACAGAATATCGATGTTGCACTCTGGGAGCCAATCCTCCTTGGGCTGTTGGGTCTAGCCAAGAGGGGGATTAACCCCAGAGTTCAAAGATGACATACGCTTATAATGTAAACGGGACAGCATATTTTCCATTCAATCGAGGTTGGGCCATGCAGCCGAAGGTAAGCCATACAACCGAATTTTGCCGATTTAATCTGACGGAGAATGCTTAGCCTCTCTTTTTGACCAATTAGAGACGTCCTCTTCGCATTCGTGGTACCCTCGTACAACTTCGTTTGCAAAGAACTTGAGGTATCTTCGGTCGCAAGCCAAAAGTTGACACCCTAAAGTAAACCTGTATTGAGATGACGTACACCTCTCTGATTGGTCCAAATCGATAAACAAAAATGGCGGATTCAAAATTTTCTAATAACGCTTCGAATAATATTATGTTGATTCCTGGCGTATTAACCAATATCAGACTTGCCAACCTAAAATGAAAAATTTTCGGGAGATTTAAAAAAAATTGCGGTACTTTTACGGGAGTTTTTTTCAAAATCCAGTTTTTGCGGGAGTTTTTTGAAAAAAAGCGGGAGTTTTTACGGGAGATTTTTGAAAAAACGGTAGTTTTTACGGGAGATTTAAAAAAAAACAGGAGTTTTTGCAGTAAATTTTGAAAAAAACGGGAGTTTCTACGGGAGATTTTGAAAAAACGTGAGTTTTTGCGGGAGATTTTGAAAAAAGGTATTTTTCGCGGTAAAATTAAAAAAACGTGAGTTTTTTACGGAAGATTTCAGAAAAACTGGAGTTTTTGCGGTAGGTTCTGAAAAAACTGGAGTTTTTGCGGTAGGTTCTGAAAAAACGGGAGTTTTTACGGTAGGTTTTTTTAAAAAACGGGAGTTTTTACGGTAGATTTTTTTAAAAAACGGGAGTTTTTACGGTAGATTTCTGGAAAACGGGAGTTTTTACGGTAGATTCTGAAAAACGGGAGCTTTTACGGTAGATTTCTGAAAAAACTGGAGTTTTTACGGTAGATTACTGAAAAAACGTGAGTTTTACAGTAGATTTTGAAAAAACGGTCCCGTTTTTACGGTAATAAATCCAGCGATTTAATTGGTTGAAATTATTATGACACATGCGCAGTTAATAAATTAATTAGAACTTATAATCTAAAATAGATGTCACGTTCATTATTTCACAGCAGTCCCTACCCATAATGCGCCTTATATGGCGGGAATATTTTGTTTAGCGCCATATAAAAACAAAATGTATTCTCCCGACAGAAGTATGACAGAATATGAACTGGCCCCCGTTTGTGGACATTTGGTGTGTAAACTTATACCGAACTGATCGCAGAAAAGCAATTTGAATGGGAATGAAGTACTTTTAAGTTATTTATGAACGTATCGATAGTGAACCATGGGAGCCAATCCTTCTTGGAGTAAAAGAAAGAAGCGTGCCTGCAATAATCAAGGTCACAAATTTGTCAAATTCCTTTTAAATACGGTAGATTTCGACAGCAAAAAACGGAGATTTTACGGGAGTTATACCAAGAATACGGGAGATTTTACGGGAGTTATACCAAGAATACGAGAGATTTTACGGGAGTTATACCAGAATACGGGAGATTTTACGGGAGATTTCAGCAAAAATACGGGAGATTTTACGGCCATATTTTTTTTAAAATTACGGGAGATTTTAGTAGAAATACGGTACGGGAGTTTACGGGAGTTTTTACGGGAGAAAACGGTACGGGAGTTTGGTATTTTTTACGGAAAAACAAAAAATTTACGGGAGATTCCCGTAAAAAAACGGGAGGTTGGCAAGTCTGAATATCATAGCTTGGTTTTTCACATCAAGATAAAGAAATATATAAGGAATATGTTTACATCGATTAAAACAGCATGGTGACGCGCTATGTTCAAAAATTAACTGGTGAGAATTTGCACAAACGAAGGTGGTACGCAAGAGACGTATTATGTCAGCCATCGCTAAAGCTCTGGCCCCCCCCCCCTCTTGGTCTAGCCCAGGAAAATCAAAGACAAACAAGTGTGACATCTATTATGTCAGCGTTAGTCGTCAAACATAAACAACCAAGCTTTGAGAAGTGATCCAAAATGGTACTTCCAGTTGTCAAAGTTATGGATGGGAGTGCGTCGGATGTCCGGCTAGTGCTTCAAGACGAATTCTCTCCTCCAGCGCATTGAGTTTCCTGGTCCGTAGCATCGACGGAAGCTTTTCTCATTAACATTATCAATCACCATGTCGATCAATCCTTTCAGCCACAAAGCTTAATATGAAAAAAACTTTTCCAATCATCATTAAAAGAATGTCTTCGGGTACCAGTTAAATATGACGACAAGAAACGATTTCATCACTAATCCCGGGGATTACATGTTTAATGCAATATGTGGCTCCTTAATATATAGTGTAAGATTGTTTTAATTGTCAAACTATTCTTCAGTATTGGAGGCTAAATAAATAAATAAATAAGCTCTCGACATTTGGCAAAACATTATGAGGCCTTTATACACGTACATATTAGAAGACTAAAAGCTAATTTGTGTAACCTGTACTTGCATGTGTTTATAAGATATAATGGAAATTAAACCAAGATGATATCCATTAAAGAATCTTGTCTTCCACTCTAGGGCTCAAGATTAAAGGAACATTAAATGCGAAATGATGAAGCCACACTACGTGACGACATCAATATAATTACCAACGATTCCCCGTCTGTGCAAGTAATTATGTAATGACAAAAGCGACTGATTGTACAGGGGCGGATCTGGGAACCAACAAGGGGGGGGGGCCCAAACTTCTTGTCTGAGTAAAAAACTTTTTGGGCCCCAAAAACCCAAAAGTGGGCCCAAATTTTGAAATTTTGAGGCCCATTTTCTTCAAAATTTGGCCTAAAATTAAAAAACAAGGCCTTAGAAGGCCTACTTTTTGGGGCCTTAAGGCCC